GATCGATTTCGTCCAGCTCAACATGGATACTAGCAGGTTACTGAAACCGGATGCCGATGACCTCAAGTGTGTTTACTCATACTCTAAGGACACCGCAAATGTTTGTGTTGAAAACATTAATGCCGATTTACTACGCTTAAGCAGATGGGGTTCGACATGGCAGATGGAGTTTTCATCATCCAAGTGTAGTTTCATGTCTTTTGGTCCTACGCAACTTCCTGGTCCCATAATTTTTCAGAATAACCCACTCTCAGAATGCCTCACCATAAAGGACCTAGGTCTTAGTTATACAAATAAGCTTGCTTTATCACCTCATGCAGATAGAATCTCTGCCAAAGCCGCGCAGATATGTGGATTCATATCGCATATTTTTTTCCTTCCGGAATGGGAGCTAAGACTTTATCAAATGTTTGCTCTTCCAGTCCTCGAATACTGCTGTCCTTTCTTCGGTTTAATGAACGCCTGCGACCGTAATAAAATCGAAAATGTTCAGACGGTTTTCATCCGGAAACTGTTCTCTCAAGCTTCGTCCGGTATTTCTTATACTCAGAGATGTCAGCTGGCGACATTAAGTTTTTGTGGGTTAGAAGACTCGAAGCTGGCCTTTGCTTCCTTTTTCGCATCAACTCTAGCTCCAGTCTTCCGCTCATTGACACTCTCACTCCGAGAGATCGGTCTTATGTCACGCGTAACTCCTGCATGGTGATTCCGCCGCCTCTTTGTACTACATCTAAGCGCTCCCTCTTCTTTGCTTCCAAATATGCCTTCCTTTGGAATAATCTTCCGCCTGAAATTAGATTATCGCCTAAGTTACTGGTATTCAAGTCGAAATTACGCAAACATATTACACCGGAAAACATAAAGGCACTGTTAGCGGTCTCATTCCCGAACACTCAGATTCTTGACTTCGAGGAGGGTCCTCCTGGGATTTAGTGGTAGATTAAGTGGTAACTCTTAATTATATCATTAAAAACCCCTGTTTTGAATTGGTTTCTAAATCCACTGCTATTACTCCTCCCCCATAGCGACGATTTTCGCGGTTTTTGATGTCATCTCCCGCATTCCGACCTCATGCGGTCTGTCAACGCTCACGGCGGAACCCTCAGGATTCGCCGTCTACTAGTAGTTTATACGTACCTCCCTTCCCCACTGCTCGGCTGAGCTCGAAGCGTGCTGTGGCCGATCGCATCTGGGTTCCTCTCGTCTAGCCTCTTTGACGCGGCGTACCAATCCGGCCCAGACGATCTCAATTGTGGATCCCGTATACAATGCCATATGCAAGCCAGTCCTGTCTGACCCGCATACGTACCCATCAAGGCTGACATTTATTGCTACCCTGACGATGACCGACAACATTCCGTTATATACCGCCACCTACAGGCCAGTCCTGCTCGCTTTTTCTGTCATTATTTTTATTGAGGTTTTTTTTTCTCCTGTAAAATTAATCCAATCATTTTTAACTTTTTGTATGGAGTTTTTTTTCACCCCTCAATCATCATGTTTCTCAATGGACTTCTAATTCAGAAACTATGAATTGCATTTTGTAAAGATTCGGCCTACCTCGTCTAAAACTCACGTGTACATTTATTTTAACTTGCTTTGACTGGACCGCGACGGGTCTTTAATAAAAAATTATCTATCTATTTTCTAGGACCGACCCCTTCGAAATCCATTCTGATCCAATCTGAGCAAGTGGTTTTCTTCAGGATTCCGCATCAGCCACGTTTTTATTACCTTTTCCATCATTTTGCAACAGATGCTTGCAAGAGCCACTGCTCTGAAAATATTTGGGGCTGTTCTCTGGCCACCTTTATATGTGGGCCTTATATTTGCTTTCTTCCAGTCAGTAAGTAGATGCCCGGTCACTATCGAAGTTCTGAAGATCCTGAATATCGGAGAGGCCAGCTGTTCTGAGAGTTCATTCAGGGCTTTTTCGAACACGCCGTCTGGACCAGGAGATTTAGTGAGCTGTAGTTGACTCAAATTTTTCCTTACCGTGTCTGTTGTGAAGTCCTCCGTGCCAATTGTATTTCTTGATTTGGCAAGTGGGGGTGAACTCTTTCATCAAATCCGGCTCCTATGTATACACAGACGTGAAGAAATCGGACAAGAGGTTCGCCTTATCTGAATTGTCAGACAACGTATTTCCCTGGCGATCTTTTAGACAGGGAATGCCGTCCCGTTTGCGTTTCGTCTTATTGACTTATCCAAATAATTTGTTTGAATTTTGCGGGAGATTCTTTAGAAGTTTTGACTCATCTTCTGCCCGTTCCCTCCTCGGCAGATTTCGACGTACATTTCTCTGTTTTTTTTAGTCAGCGAAATGCTCTGGTTGCTGACATATGTCGTACTTTTCCAAAGTCTCCTTTACAAGTGAAGGTTTTTCTTTATTTCTGACGTCACCCATTCTGGTCGGAACGTGCGCAGTTTCCTCTTAAGTGGGCTACAGGTTTGTACCAAGTGCTGCATTATTTCCTTGTAGAAGAGCCAGTCGCTTTCTGGGTCAGGTGCTTGTGCAGCATGCCAATTCACCTTCTGTAACAGATCCTTCATTCGACGATAATCCCGTTTCCACACATTTCTTTCCTCATCAGCTCGAATTTCGGGTGCGGAAAAGTGACTATACTCCCACACGAGGACACAATGGTCACTTCGGCCAAGGGTGTGTGCGATTCCAGTCCGAGAATTCAACTATCATCCCTAGTGATGATGAGGTCCGAACAACTGGACTGCTGTCCATCTCTGAATCGAGTGTCCACTTTAGCATGCTGGGTAAGGAACTCATTGGTAATCAGTTGAATAGATTTCTGTTCGAAGGATTTTTCTGATCGAGTGCAATGCATCAAATCCCACTTGATGTCTGGATAGTTGAATTCACCAAGTTGCATTACGTGTTTGCTTAGATAAACCTCTTTTGTCGCGGTGATGAGTGCGTCGTCCGCATCCTTCCGCTGGCCTGGCAGTCTGTAAACCAGAGCCATATGGAGGCTTGGATGGTTTGGCACTTTTAAGTAACAACTGAGTACTTCACAACCAGAGTTCCGAAATGGGAAGGCTCAACTCAGACGTAGTTGTAGTAGTTTGTGGTCAAATCAAGTGGATAGTTTGATAATTTTTTACAAAAGACCCGTCGGGGTCCCATCAAAGCCAATAAAAATAAATTCACATGCGAATTTTAGACGAGGAAGGCAGAATCTTTACAAAATGCAATTAATCGTTTCCGAATTAGTAGCCCATTGAGAAAAATGACGAGGGAGAGTGAAAAAAACTCCATACAAAAATTTAAAAATGATAGGATTAATTTTACAGGAGAAAAACCCCTCAGTAAAAATAATGATAGAAAAATGCGGTCAGGACTGGCCTGTATGTGGCAATATATAACGGATTATAATCGGACATCGTCAGGGCAGCAATAAACGTCAGCCTTGAGAGTTACGTATGCGGGTCAGATAGGACTGGCCTGCATGTGGTATTGTATACGGGACTCAGAACTGACATCGTCTGGGCCGGATTGATACGCCGGATGAGACTATTCGCCTCCAAGATACCAGACGAGCAGAACCCAGACGCGATCGGCCACAGTACGCTTTGAGCCCAGCCGAGGAGTGGGGAAGGGAGGTACGACTAAACTACTAGTAGACAGCGAATACGGAGGGTTCCGCCGTGAGCGTCGACAGACCGCATGAGGTCGGAATGTGGGAGATGATATCAAAAACCGCGAAAATCGTCGCTATGGGGGAGGAGTGATAGCGGTGGACAGGGCGCTTGTTAAGGGAATTTTCCAGTCTATTCCTGGAACGCTGAAGTCACCCAGAAGTAGCAATTTCTCCTGCTTGCATAACAGCTCCACTGCACTAGGTAAATGCATATCGGCGATGTCATTCGAGCTGGGAGGCCGATAGACAACGTGTAGGTTAAGTGTCGATAATTGTTTGATACATATCATGCATGAAATCATTTCGAAATTTCGCGGCGTCCCATCAAATATTTCTTGCTGACAGCACGGAATTTCGTTTGACGCACAAATCGCTGTGCCTCCTCTACGTTGAAATCTGTCACAACGAAACAGTTGGTCGGTTCCCCATAAATATTCACTCTCAAGTATTTCCGGTGTTTGCAATTTAGTACTTGCGTACCTTCTGCAAAATAACCTTAAAATTCTTTCTTCGGCCAGCCTGTGCTGCTGTACAATGCGAAGCTTTATGGCCAACACGAGAGCAGCTGTAGCACTTTCTACCACGATGGGGGCATTCACTCACGCAGTGCCAACCGTCGTACTGACAGCAAGCCGCCTTCAGCTTCCGGGAAGAAACTCTATTCTATCCTGATTGTTTTGTCTTAGTATCAAAGAAGAAAGCAGGCCAGCCATTCCTCCTTCCAATAAGTCGGCTGTCTTGCTTGATATCTGTGATTCAGACATTTCCTTGACAGTTCTTGTACAGTCATATTACCCTTTTGATTTGACTGGGCGAACAAACGTGTGCGCACGCTAGCATCCTCCGGCAGAGTTAATGATCTGGTAAAAAGAGAGCCCTAATCCACTGGCTAGTGGCTTGTTCTAAGTCAGCTTGAACGTATGCCTCGTTTAGTCGACCAGCTAGGTAAAGTGATCTTCCTGAGACTGACTTTCTATGTTAAAACTCTCATAACGCCGGTTGGATAACGACTTTGAAAACCTAAACAAGGACTCAAAGTTCTTAACTGTATCGCCAAATGAAATCATTGTTATTATTAGTATCATCATTACACATTTCAACTAGTTTCTCTGTCAAAATGAACTTAATGCACCCCTCGTGTTCCTAGGCTGTCAATAAAGTGCTTGTTCCCCAAACCGGCTCTCCTTCTGTTCCACCTTCCTTTAGGGTCATGAAATTCACAGTTGTATTCTAATTTAATTAACTCATCATACATGTCTGTCGTCTAAACTTTGTTTTACTTCTTCGTGTAGCCTTCTATGTTACAACCGCGCGCTTCACTTTTCTCTTATTGCGCTCGGTCAGATGGCTAACGTACGATCCTTGTGGCGTAGGCGATATTTTCTTTCCTGACTGCATTCCTGCTATGTTTTTTTTCCGATGGGGCCCCAACAGCTGCATTTCTTCGTCACCGTTCGTCAAGATTTAGGATAGTTATGACAAAAAAAATGAGTTTTTCACTACCTGGTATTATATATGATTTCAATATAGAAACCGTACTTTTGGCCGTGGTCCTTTGTGCGATGTTTTAAAACGCTGCGAAAATTTTTCTGGAAATTTTTGCCACTTATTGCCCCGTCTCTAAAGCAAGTGACTCGTATACTCGGGCATCGTGTTAGGATAATACTTTTCCTAATAATACTCGAAGAGCATCGTCAAAGGAATATTGGGTCCGTGGGGGGTTGAACCCAGGCAAAATGCCGGCAAGACAACCCTCTAACCAGTGCACAGTTAGACTGAAATCAGGAACCGTCGAGGCTTATCCAACGAGCATCCGAGCATATGCTTGCATTTTCGACTGTGACCCTTTTTACCGGCGTCACTTACAGTATGTGACCTAACTAATGAAAGATGTCGAATTCTACGGTTGATTGCTAATTACTGGCAAACCGTCGCCACTGGATGGACCCAATATCTGTGTGAATAAATAACACCTTTAGGGGAATCAAAAATATAACGGTAATGTCGAAGGCAGTCTTGGATTGCCTAGGAAGACTAGGTTTTTTAGAAAATCGGAAAATCTCGAAAACGTCCAAAATGGTTACAATTGTATAAACTTCATTTGCCGATATTCGGAAAGTGTGTCCACGCAAAACTCGGAGTATTTATGAAAGCACAAATAGAATAACCTCTGGAGATAATCTTTTGTGAAGTTTACACCTAAATATCCTTTAATAATCAATTTGACTGTAATTACTGTAACTGGTATCGGGTGTCTCAGCCACGATGACCGTATTTGGAGTTCTGTTGTCTTGGTATGGACGCTTAGTCTTTCGACTACTTCCTCAAAGCAGTACGTGGCATATTTATTGATCTGTCCACTGAGTGGAAAATTATCCCTTCAGACCAACCCCATATATAACGTAGAATTTGTAGGTTGTTCGTTTAGACGGTCCGTTGAAAGGGGGACTCTGTAGAAAAATGGCAAAATAAAAGTCTGAAAATTCCACAGTGACCTCGCTTGAACTGAGAGTTGAGAAAAGCCGTGTTTTGAAGTTTTTAACGTATATTTTTCTTCATTATCCGCTATCAGGAAACCACATGTCCCCTGGGAATTAATATCGACAAGCCTCGCTATGACCAGTCAACTTACATTGGCCGTGCAAAGCACTTCTTCATTACCACAAACCCCCTCAATTGTTTAAAGTCTAGCAAAGAGCTCGAAGAAGCCAAGTCAATTGTCGTTAAATATAAAAAGGGGGAACGCGTTCCTGGATTAACTGAAGACAAGTTATGGAAAGCAAAGCAGACGTACGATTCAGCATTTCATCCCGATACTGGAGAAAAAATGTTCATCCTGGGACGTATGGCATTCCAGGTGCCCGGCAACATGACCATTACCGGATGCCTTCTTACTTTCTACAAGTGAGTGGAGATAGTATATCAGCATATTTCAGGGCTCCCTCTAGTATCCGCCATTTCTTTCTGATTTTTTCATCTCTTTTTTGTATTTTGTCTGCAGATCAGCTCCAGCTGTTATCTTTTGGCAGTGGTTTAATCAGTCTTTCAATGCAATTGTAAACTACACCAACAGAAGCGGTGACGCCCCCATTTCTCCTACGTAAGCAGCGCTTTTTTGACTGAAGAGTTTTGCCGGTATTTGCTTGCCGTCCAGAATCGTCTGTTTTAAAGATTTTTTTCGCTTTCTTTTTACACTGACTAACTTTATCTGTTGACCCTTAGAGAGCGTTTTTTTCCATTCTTTTTTACAGTTGGGAACTTTGTAAACTTGATGGAATATTGGGCGTCTGATCTATTAGCGTAGCTTATACCTCCTCAGGGTAGACTGCTTCTTTTACGCGATTTTGCTTGTCAGCGCCCCTCCTCTCGGTGTAAAATAATTGCATTATGTCTCCAGAGTATTTTTAAAAACGGAAGTATTTAACAGAAAACCATGAAAATGCCTGGTACTCCATTTTAAGTTTCTTTTTGATAGTTCAATGGGCCCGGCAATTTTATTTCCTCGTTCCCCTTGTCGGTGATTTTCTCAAGCATTGAATACTCCTAGTGGACTTTTGCTACGTCTATTACTTTCTCTCAGACCCTCACTTTGCCATCCCGTTCCTCATTGTCAACACAATCATCGTTACGCTCCAGGTTCGAAACTTGCCTCATGTTGCACCATTCAGACAGATGGCTATTTGCATATTAAATGCGGCCGTTACAGTAGCAAACACTCGGAGAGTTTCATTGAAAGATTTTCCCAGCTACATGCCCAATGCCCTTGGACCCAGTTTCTCAGCAACAGCCACTAATTAAATTTCAATTTTCATAAAATCCCTACAGATACTGGCTTATTTCGGATTTAAACCAGCCCAAAGTCTTGCTTTCGCATACTTTCGGGTACTTGTTTGTTCTGTCAAACCGTTCGATTTGCTATTGTTATACTTCGCACGGTCTTCTTTAGCTTTTTTTGTCTTTAGTCGCCTCGGCGTCTCCTACATCCTCGCTACTGCTGGCGCTGTCACTAGCGCTCTTGCTATAAACAAGCAAGTTACAGTGAGTTATCATGTCTGTCATCGCTTGTGTTTTTAAATTCTTTAATTTTGGTACCTTTACACTGTGCTTTGTTTAGTTCCTCTTGCGCTTTAATAATACCGGCTGATAATTTTCAATGAATTTCCCTGCATGACCGTGTATATCTGGGAGAAATTTGCCTTTGTTACAATCTCTTTTCATGCTGAAGTCCAATACGAAGATGATGACACCACTCAAAGTTTTCCTAACAACAGTATAAAAGATGAAACTTACACGTCTGCCCGACCGCTTTCGTTTTCTGATAAAATAATTGGTATTTTTCAAGCGACTGTTGGTTATGGATTCTACGTCAGATGAGAACGCATTAACATTTTCGCAACGTGTATCCTGCAAATAAGCTATTTGTCTCTATTACAACCTCGACTCGAATAGAAATATATGTATTCTCATTTTGTCAGAAATCTTAAAAGCAGCCTTCTTAAGACCAAAGACTTGTTTCATCACTCAAAAATTCACTGAAATGCCTGCCAACTGACCAACTTCCTTTCTGACCGGGGTCGAAGAAACTATGCCTGCGCAACTAAATCGTGTATCATTAGTACTTTAGATGGTCTACTATGCTACTTAATTAGTTTACTTTGTTGTATATACGAATTTTTGCTTAATGTTCTTCCAGGCCTTTTGACTGTAAATTATTGCCACTGCGAATATATTGTAAGCAGAGGAATCGACATCATCCAAATTATCAAAACTGTCAGTAGTATCAGGACCAATGAGCGCATAAGTCGAGACTGCATATTCTATCTCAAACACGTAGTGGCAGTGCTAAATCTAGGCGAAAAATCTGAGCTTTAACAACCAAAATGATGGATGTGGTTTTGTGGTAGCAGGATAAGGATTATTGAAAGTGTATTTGCTTATTGACAAAGATCGCCTTCGAATGCCAGAAATATAAATCTATACTCGGTGTAAAGTATCGGCATCACCCAAGCACATGCAACCCGCCTCATCAAGAAAAAGACAGGAAAGGAAGCACTTCTTTACTCTTTAATCAAGCAGCTTTCAGATAATAAGACCATAAGCTATAAAGTGAGAGTGATATTCCTACTCTCTATTTCATCCGGGTATAACGTCAACTTGTGAGATAATTTTTCTGACTGATTATACCGGCAATTCCAGTAAAAAGTAGTCTGACTCTTGAGTGTTTTCTTGACTGTTTTCTGACAATGCACTGATGGTTAGTATCAAGCACGGCAAAATACCGCTCTACCCTAGACCAGAATGAAGTCCGTCCTGCAGCTTGTGAGGATGATCAAGTAATTTCTCCAACTTCTGACGTGTATTTTGGTTGGAAAATATCGCTCATGTATCAGAACTCATTAGAATGGGATTCGCTAATTTATCCAGTTTGTGCTTTGGAGCTGTACTCTAAGCATTCGTAGGCGGTCACCCACCGACAACAATCGACCCTTGAGAAGTTGGGGATTGAGTTACTAGTTTCTTGTTGCTGTGCGGTCGCCCACAATGACCAAGTTAATTTATAAGACAAGACGAAACATCCATATTACGGATAAATCTATACCGGCCCTCCTTTGTAGTAATAGTCATCACCTCTACACTATTTCTTCCTTTTATTGCGCAAGCGACTGCAAAAGTAGTCTCATAGGTCCATGTTCGTTCACAACTTGGGCACCGAGAAGAGATCTTGAGGACGTTCTATTAAGTGACCTGGGTTAGGTAAGGTTGTCCTGGTGGAGCACTTTCTACTGAGTACTCACACTTTACGAAAACATTTAAGTGATAATTTGGTTTTATACGTCCGTTAAAGGCATACAAAGATTACAGTCCCCTTACTTTTGTGCGCAGACGAAGTTTACATTTTCCTACGGGAGTTTTATTTAGTCCCGTTGTTCTGGATACATGTCCATACGACTTTCTCCCTCGTCGCTTTTCATTACAAGACTTGTAGTCCAGTTGGTGGATGGCAGCTGCTGGATATACTAGCAAGCACTACACCTCTGGGACCTATCAGTCCACGGTCGTGGTTGAAGATTACTGTCCGAGCAAATACTTTTTCACCTTCAGGAATGGAATTGGGTCATCTTTGTAGGAGTATGACCAACAGGTTGGAGTTGCCCCTTTGCCCGGTTTTGTCAGTGTGCCCAGTTTTAAGAGCTACGCATCTCAAAAGCTCAAGACACTTCAACTATTAGATCCAGCTTTAATTGTTCCTTCTGTCTATTCTAAGCGTTTTCCACCCGTGGTCGGTCGCCTCGTCCCTTATGCAGCCGTGGCCGTGGCTAATTGCATCAACATTCCTTGCATGCGCAGTGCTGAACTCAGCAACGGTATCGACGTCTTGGACGATAATGGCGAAAAGCTTGGCAAGTCCGTTAGGACGGCACGCGTTGCTATTGCTCAGGTCACGATCTCTCGAGTTCTTATGGCGTCCCCTGGCATGGGTAAATCGCTCATTTTCTCTCATTATTGTCCCTCCTTTTTTAAAAATTGTCCCTGGATAGTACCAGATGTAGTTAGCTTCCTTGAAACTAGGGGAAAGGGGCCAGTTGTCGTTTTGACATATAATTACCAGCTACTACATTTAAATAAACCTGTAATGGCCAGAAATCAACGTTAGATCTCGAAGCTCATAAAACGCTGACCGAAAGTCCTCAAAATATTCTGAAATGCGGATATCCAAGTTTGCCGGTAAGTCTGTCCAAACAATGCTCAGCACTAGGGTCTGACTTCTTCTCTCCCTTCTTCCTACCCTTGACCGACTATTCAACGTTGCCTTCGTCACTTGGGTTTTCTAGGAGCATCTTCAGGGAATTTGGTCCTTTGCCGAATGTGCCTATAGCATTTTCTAGTTACTTTTTGCCTGTCATTGACTCGATAGACTTGGCATACATCGGATCTCCCTGGAAAATGACCTTTACTTTTACCGGTAATGTATGCAGGTGACCACTTCGATTAAAATGGGCAGTACTTACTTTGATGACTAGTCTTCGCGCATCCGACAAGAGCATCGTCCTGGCTGTATATCCTTGTGTCGAGGTTGGCCGTATGTAGGCTGCCTCCAAATAACGCAGAAACTCGACCTATGCAAACAGTTAAACCATGTGGTCAACCTCAACTTGGCCTGGTAGATCTGAGCTTTTTGAGTTGCAAAATCCCTCTGCGTGTTAACTTCTCCGTTTCCTTTCCTATGTTGTGTTTTTCAAGTTACCATTTTATTAATTAGTCTACTTACAGTGTACGATGACGTTGCTGTTTTATAGTGATTTTCTCTGTGGAAGTTCAAACCTCTGTGCCTTTCTCACTTGTTATCTGTGTTATGCAACGACAGGCTGCAGTTGATAAGACGTCCGAAATCTATTGGTTCCAACAAATTCTACTGTCTATGCCTGATTTAAAAAGGGGCTTTATACACAATATGCCAGACAATAAAGAATTAACCTCCAAGGTACCCCATACTACATGGATTTCGGCCGTCACCTTCAACGACTTTCTTTCCTTACTTTATATGTATGTGTGTACCTGCAGTTTCGATGTGATCGCGGATTCTTTTTCTGGTCTCAGATATTTGTAGGATTTATCCGACAGTACGACCGTCGTTTCCGACTATGTCAGCCTTGTGCTTCATAGCAAGGTGGAACAGGCACGGTGACTTGCACGGGATTTAGTTGTTAGTGAGTACATACTTGCACAGCATCTACCGCACTCTTTCCTCCGCCACCTGAATCCGGTGCCAAGACGGAGGCGGGGGAAGGCGTAGATGGATGGCACGGTCGAGTCCGAATCTTGGCGCTCCACTACACGCAGTCCGGTCCACACAACAGTTGACCAGGATTTTAAGCAAAAACAACACAGCGGGTCAGAAAGACGAGGATGACTGGACAGCCATGCTCACGACCTCTATATCCAACGGGAGCGCAAACGAATCTACCGGTACGAAGCCAGGCGTTAGAGAACTGCCAGCGCATACCAGACTGTAAGGGTCATCGTTTGCTTGTCCTGGCATTGCAGACGCCTACAGGCCAATAGGCCCTGAAGGATGACACATGGCTCTGCATTTGCCTAGGCCGTCCTCCTTCAAGGCTGGGTAACCAAGCATCCGACAACTGAGAGGCATTACCCATAAGACATACATACACACTCCTCACGTGCGTGAGGGTGTCGCTGATCACTTAAGAAGGCGCCGTGACAGCCTGGCTCTCAGCTCACCAGTCCGCCACTCCACACAAACGCATACACAACTGGGAGGACTGCGTGGACTGAGTTGGGCGTCAGTCAGCAGCCTTCCAAGCCACGGCGCCCGACGCACCGTGATAGTCTCAGACTCGGATCACACATACAACAGAGGAGCCGCATGGCGAAGGAGCCGAGAAGGACACTTCCCACTTGCATGGGAGGTGGCAACTAGGTGCTTGTGATGGGTGATGGTGTTGTGAGGTGCGGGCGCTGGTGGGGGAAAATGTAATGATGTAGTGTAGCGGGCGGTTGTCTACCGCAGGCTTTAGTGAATGCACATGCATCGGTAGGTCGGTCCCGGGCGAGGTCGTCCCAGTTAGCCGGGTCGATCTGCAGGCGGTTCAGTAAAGTCTTCAGGGTATCTTTGTAGCGCCGGACTTGTCCTCCTTGTTGACGGGAATCCGTGGCGACATCTCCATCGAAGAGTCGTTTGAGTAACCGCTCGTCGTCCGCACGCACGAGGCGTCCGCTCCAGCGCTGTTGCAGGTGTCTCAGCATGACGTAGATGCTGAGGACCCCCGTCCGTTCCAGTACGTCTGTGTCAGGGATCCGGTCCTGATACCTCAGGTTTAGTTTCCGGCGGAGACAGCTGAGGTGGAAGTGGTTGGATCTACGCGCCTGCTCCTTGTACACTGTCCAGGTCTCCGCTCTATACAACAGTGTCGGCAGGATGACTGCTTTCTAAATCGTCAGTTTGCTACTGACGTGAAGACCGTATCGATTCCAGACAGTGTTTTTCAGGCGGCCGAAATTTGGCTTGTCTTGGAAATCCGGCGGACCACTTCATCGTTGATTTTGGTGTTGCGAGAGGGCGCCGTTCACGTTGACTTGGGGTGCGTTGTAGGCAGAGTCGAGCAGCGCTTGATGATGAGGCCGAAGTTGTCGCAGGTGGCGGCGGCGGCGATAAGGTGCATGCTCATTTGCATGCCCCCTTCGGAGGTGGCGATGTGAGCTCAGTCGTCGGCGAAGAGAAGTTCATGGACGGTAGTTGTGGGAACACGCAGCTGGAAGTGCATCCGCTGCTGAGTGAGGAGTTGGCCATCCGTCCTGTAGGCGATGCGGATCCCAGGGCGTTCGTCACGGTGTGCGTCCATCAGCATGGCAGAAAACATGAGATTGAAAAAGTTAGGCGCGAGGACATAGTCCTGATTCACTCCGTTGGTCACTGCGAATGCCTCTGAGACGACTTCATTATCCGTGACGCGCGCCGTCATGCCATCGTGGAGCTGACGCACCACCTGAGTGAATCTCCTGAGACAGCCGTATTACTTAGTGATTCTCTACAGTCCTTCGCTATTCAGTGTGTCACAGGCTATCGTTAGCCCCACGAAGGTAGAGTAGAGGTAGATCCGCATCTCCTGACACTTCTGCAGTTGGCGGATGGCGAAGAGCATGTTGATGGTACCTCGATGACAGCGGAAGCCGTATTGGCTTTCCGGCAGACGCCCTTGTTCCAGATGATTTTTGAGACGGTTGAGAAGGATGTGAGTGAGGACCTTCCCGGCGGTATTGAGAAGGAGATCCCTCTGTGGTTTTCACAGAGTTGGCGGTTCCCTTTCCGTTTATAAAGTTAAACTATTGTGCCGTCCTTGAAATCTTGCGGGACTTGTCCTTGACGCCACATCCGGAAGAGTGTTGTCAGATGATCCATGAGTTGGGGACCGCCGTGCTTGTAGATCTCAGCAGGGATCGCGTCCAGTCCGGGCGCTTTCCCGCTGGAGATCAGCTGCACAGCTTTGATGGTTTCGTGGGGAGAGCGCGGGAGGTCGAGATCGGCGTTGATCTCCACTGGGGCAGACGGGCGATGGCGGCGTCTGAGATGGTGGAGGGACGGCTGAGGACGCCTCTGAAGTGTTCGGCCCATCAACTCAAAATTTGCGTCCCACAGTGAATGGGGTGGTCGCGTCGACGCTGTCCTTTTAACTACGGGACCGTAGACAGTCTTGATCGCAGCGAAGAAGTTCTCCCATTCGTTGCGGTCCGCGTACCCTTGGATCTCCTTTGCCGTGCGAGCCGTTCGGGCGTTTTGCATCTCCCACAGCCGTTGTTGCACAAGGCGGCGACTTCGATAGAAGGCTGCTTTGTTGACGTCGACACGGCGGTTGCCGTAGGTTTGGTGCGGACTTACCTTGCTGTCTCCCGCCGAGTTGCAGTCGAGGCCTCATCTTGGGGGTGGCGATTCGGTGAGCCGTAGGACTTTCGACCGTGGGGGTAGAGAGTAGAGTAGAAAGTATGTGGTGAGGACGAAGGAGAAGGGCGGAGAATAGGTGCGAAGGTGTAGAAAGGGGCAGGTCTTCCGTCCACTGTGTCAGTAGTTTGCTGAGTGCTTGTGTCCTCCTGTGGCGTTGCAGACGGAACCTCATCTGGGAGGTGACGATGCGGTCCTTCATGCAGCCGGCGAAGGTGGGAGGGGAGCAGAATTACCGTGTGCGGAGATGCACATACGGATACCCTCACCCGGTATAGGCCGCCGGTCGAAGCGGTTGCCGGGGTGTGGCCGCTGGACAGAGCCTAGTTTCGGGAAGCCACACGTGAGAATTGGGTGCCAGTTAATGGACACTAGGCGTAGTCAACACCTACCAGCAAGTGAGCGACCTACTACGACCATCACGTGGACCCACAATTGAACACCCCTACACCCCGGTAGGAGTTATAGTTGATTGAACAAAGACAGGGTGACTCTGAAATAACGCTATTTCGATGTGCTCATACCACTGTCGATACGCCCTATTAGGCTATTTTGACCGAGTTCGGCCTGCTCTTGACCCGTTTCCTTCGCGAATTCACTGTACCGGCATGCGCCAATTCTTCTGAAAACTAACATTTTAAAATTTCTTATGTAGCCGCCCTTTCAGAATCGTAATGAAATATTTTTTGTTCTTGAAAAAAAGATGGTTTTATCGTGTACAGCCGGTATAAAAATAAACAATAATATTTTTGACTCGGGACTCGGGAATATAGTTTTACCGTACGGCCCTATCGAAAGTCCTTCTTATGACGTTAAACCAAAATCAAAATATATTAAATGTCTTTTTATAGCCAAAGTGATGACATCCTGTGTTCGCACGCACCTTGAGGTTCACAACAACTTTTAGCCACCTCCAGTGCAGGTTTGTTAACACCCCCGAAAACTTCAGTTTCCAGGCGAGTGCGTATTGATTGCTGTACTCCGCAAAAATATTAAGACCGTCTAAAAGAGTAGTGCTTTATTACACCCTGAAATCCTGTGCTGCGCATGTTTTACTGATCTGATGACCCTCACCGAAATTCCTTATTTTTCTGAATTCGAAACCTTTCTTTATAAGCTCAAACCTCCCTACAAACTCAAGCTGTTCGACTTTTCGTCAAATTTGAATTTTACCATCACAATTGAAATTATAAATTAGACATGTTCGTATTAACGACCTATCCGTCATTATATTCGTTGCCATTATCGTGATTCATAGTATTCCGGTGCATGCTTACGTTGATCTCAGCTCTACGCCATTTTGATCCGAGTTCCTTTCTCACATTTTCTAGTTCTTCCGCCATTCCTGATGGATGCGTTGGAGCGCCGTGGCATCTTAGCGCGCTATCCGTGGATCAGTGCTCCCCTTCAGGTTGTCCTGTGCGGTCTCTTGTAAGTCCTCGAATCCTAATTCAGTCTTTCCTTCACTTCTGGTTGACTATCTCAAGACAAACCGGCCTGGCATCAGACCGACTGAGTGAGACAAACAAACCAACATGTGTCTGTAACGCTCCTCGATTACCGCTTATTCTCCGTAAAGCAGCGTTTTGCGCAGAATTTAGACTGGAGCTCCAAGGCAAAGCGGTATTGCTCTAGCTGTTTCCTCTTGCCACTCGGATAGGCCGCTGGACGCCTCTCGTACTTGCTCTCAAAAATTCCTAATCGCAGTCGATGGAACGTGAGCCTGCGAACATTAGTCGTGGGGATCAACCGATCTCCCATCCGCGGCCTTGCGAGAAGTCGTCGTTTCAGTCACTAATACCCCTCTACTGTTTTTTCCTAATTTCCTTCCCGGACCCACCACTCGTGCGTTTAAGTGTCTGTTGACTCTCATGAACGGCGGTCAAGGAAACTGTTACGTCCAAATTGATCTGGCTGAATCATCTTCGAAGCTATCCACTCCGCAAACTTGTTGGAGACTTTTGGATGCGATGACCTCAAGATGCGCCAATGCTAGCTACCATAGAATGGCGTCCGCCTACCGCGTACAGATGCCTTCCGTACTTCGTTTTTACTTGCGCGTTTAGATTTTAAAGCAGTCGGGAAACCTTTCGGACTAGAGCAATCATGCCGCCCTAAGGGATGCATTTTCGAAGGTCAACCTGCATGTCTGCTTCCAACTCGATGATCACCTCTACCTGGAGGCCAATAATGACTTGCGCACAAATTGTACTATACTTCTGGAGTATTGTACAGCATCGACCTCTCCCTCTTCCCACATGTATTGCGTCCCAATAGTAGGACTCCGTCAATAGGACTAGATATGAAATTGAGTGCTTTGATTGACTTGGCGTAAAGCCCCGTGAACACGTACTTCGATGTGACTGGTTCCATCCGAGCGGCCAAACTAGGCTATGCACGCAACTTCGCCGTCAATGGGGGCGGGGCTCGGGTTACCTTAATGAGAATTAGTCTGTCGATTTAAGCCGGTGCCATCGTGTGGCTGCTGCGTCGATGGAGATAAGGGCTGCGTGTCACGTTTACGTCAGAGTAGACGTGGCACTCCGCACAGCTACGTACTTTGTAAAGCTGTCATCCCTCCTTTGGCACGTCGTACATCCTGAACTAGTGACAAGGAGGTGATTATAAACCCGAATCCAGGGGGGAGGGTACGCACGTACACAAGCTGCTGTCCGCTCGAAGAAAAAGAGACGAGGAATCGGATTTGAGATGGGTCGAGCCGATGGTCCCCTTATCGATCACTGCTATCTTCTCCTCTGCACCAACAAGCCTCGGGTCCGACAGCGAGGCCTTGTTTGCCTCAAACGCCGCGGATCGGATGAGGAGGTGGGCACTAAAATCTGTTGCCCGAAACAGGCAATATATTTGTGTCTAGCCGCCATAAAAGAAGTCTGGAATGTACTCTACAATGATTTTTTCGTGGATTCCACAGTATTACCAGGAAGACGGGCTCACCCGTAAGCCTAGCTACCGACCAGCTGTTGTGTCCACGAGTGACGGATAGTGTAACGAACTTCGACGAAGGCAAGCCGCAAAATAAGTTGTCCTTAACCAGCGGCAACAGTACTACCAGAACACAAAGGTCTGATGCTTGGCACGCTGACTGCCTTATAAAATACCCTAAAGCTCCATGCCGGCACTGTCACCTGGTGATATTGATGCGTCATCAGCTTGATTTGCCTGCCGCCGTTACCTTACCATTATGTTCTTGAACCAGAGCTCTAAATGGGGCAACCTCGAGCAAACGGTTTGAGGAGCCGTTGGGAACCGCCTGTATTCAGAATTCGCACGAAATTTAATAAAAAATTCTCGATCCAAAATTACTATCTATGTTGTGGCATCCGCGGGTACCGATGCGCTCCGCAATCTTGGTCCACTGTTGCGGACAAGTAGTGTGCGCGCTGTACTACCCGGTCGAGAGTGGAGACTTGGTATTGGATCTTGAAATGTGCAAGCCCTCGTCAGTCTGATACTTGCAGTCCTCATCGGTACGAAGAAAATGTCTGCTATTTTTCGAATTCCTGACCGAAGCCCTCTGAAAGTCTGGATCCGGGGAGGGGTAGACCCCCACTTCACCCTTTGTCAAAACGACTCATGCGACTCTTCTGCTAAACGCGGTGCGGCGATCGCCCTCTTGCAAAAAGCGGACTGTGTATTGCACGTTTGTGAACCGGTCAATGACGGGCTGGGTTACGTACGACAAAGGGGCATGTTACCAGCATTTCCGTCTACGCTCCAACATCCGCTGCCGGCGAGCGTGATGGACAAACTACTCACTGTTGCAAGAGCTGATTGGGAGTGTCCATTACGGTGACCTGCTGGTTGTTGCTTGGGGGTGGAAGGACCGGACTGTACCGGTCACCTTACTGATTGCCAGGAACTTGGTTGTCGACGCTACAATGGCTAGTTAGTGTTGAGCGTTGCTTACTAGAACTGGCCAGTCGCCACTATCACGTGCTTCTAGCATCGCTGCGTGCATGCCAGTTTGATTTTCAGATGACAGTCGTATGTCCGGCCGTATTGACTACATTTTAGTAGGCTCGAACTTTTGTAGATGGATTTATGGCTGCAGGTCATCGCACGGTGCTGAGACTGGCGGTGTCTCTGGGTCAGCCCATGTTCTCGTTCGTGCATGCTTGAAAGTTCACCTCATCCACACCAAATTGTCACGTGCAGGATGTCTTGGTGTCGAAAAACTACGACGACTCATCACATTTAAGGCTAAGCACAGAAATCTGTTCTCGCCTTGCAACTCTAGTCGAGGAAATATTACGGAGGTTCTCAGTCCGCTAGGCAGTTGAGGGAATTCTCGGATTCACTCGACACTCCTGTATGGACTCAGTTGGCTCCAAGGGCCTTGTAGTTGTCGGTCCGGACAACTTGATCTAGACCCCCAAAGAAGAGTTTTTTTCCGCCAAATCTGGAAAATGACGAAAAAGTTGGCTAACGATGACAGCAAAAGGTATTCTGGTAAAGCAACTACCACTCAGTGACACCCGAAAACTACGAAATTGTCCGCTGTGTTGGCGATAGACCCTCCGCCCTGAGTGACTATTTGCAGTATGGATTGTTGCCCATCCGGTCAACGTCGGATGCTATAATGAACACCTTGAGCACCTCGACTTTGATGACCAATCCACCACATCTCCATTCTCCTCTGCTGCGGAGTTTTACCCTCGATCCTATGCAGTATCGTATAAGCCATCTTCTCAGAGAGAAATCGCCGATTCAATACAGAGGCAGTACATCAAGGCGCCTGCGGAGGACATGGTTCTCACTTAAGTCCATAAGTTTAGTGTCGACACTGGCGTCCGGGAATGGACAAATGAGCTCGTTCCTGATGAATATACCTCAGCCAGCCTTGTGCCTCTCGTCAAAAGGGGACATGAGGCGAAGTGCGCGGACATAATTTACCAAAGATGCCATTGTCGTACGGAGGCGATTTCAGAGTCTGTGTGACTCTGAGACGAAACCACTCCGCTGCATCCTCAGCTGGACATAGATGCAGCGATCAAGTATTCATACTGCTTCGCATTCTTGAGTTCTCCCATGACTACCAACAACCGACGATCGTCCGTTTGGTTCACCGTGATTCCTGTGGAAGATGATGGGACTAGATGGTATTCCGGCCAGAATTGATCGCAGACTTCAAAGTCTGATATTACCCCACTGCTTTGAGAGTCCCGGCTCACAATCGCTCCCAACCGTTCGATATTCACTTCGGCTTTGGACAAAGTTGCATTCGTCGCCCATCCTGTTCAACTACGCCATTGGCTAAGTTATCTGAATGACGTTACACAGTTTTAACAATGTTGAATTTGCATCTAACCGCCGGTTGACCGACTTGAGCTACTCTGGCGGTGTCCCCCTGCCCGCGTAAAGTGATGAAGACTTACACAATAAAGGGCCGAGGATGAAAGAGGTCGCCAAATCAGTCGGTTTATTCATAAATGCCGAGAGGACCAGTGTTTTCGAGCTGCACTTTGACGGGGAGAAATCGCTCTTCGGGATTAATGATTGTCGACCTTAAGGAGCATGTAGCTTCAACCGCCTCGGGGCGAGGCTGCTGCCAAACGAACAGAATGACGATGACGTCTCCCGAATCAGTGCTGCTCTCATCGTTTCCACAAGTTTTAGGAAACTTCTGTTGATCTGACGCGTTGTCCTCATCGCCACAAAGATTCGCGTATACGGGGCTTCCGTCGGGTAAGTCCTCATATGCGCGTGAAAGATGAGCCAAAACTGGAGATATTTGACCGTCCTTGCCTGAGGGCTATCCTTTGAGTGAAGCACACTGAGTTTGTCTCGAATGAGACAGCTCTTGCTGCGACAACATTGCGAGGATATCTCAGGCCATCCAGGAAAGACGACTTGGTCGATTTGACCACGTTTTTCGTCGTCTGTCCCATGACTTCAGTGTTGCTTGCCTTGATCGGGTGCCGCCGCCTACCTGAAGGTGTCGAAAAAGAGGTCAAAACGGTATCTGGCTCAATACAGTTCGTCAAAATATGAAGGTGTTTTTCGGCCTTTCTGTATTCGGTCTCCATCGCTGAAGAGGGGAGTGGGTCGAGTTCTCTTGATCCGCCGTAGCAGATCGCCACATTTGGAAAAATAAAATCGGCAGTATCACGGGGGCTACTAGATCGATCATAATTACAGCATTACCAAGCACAGATAAGCACGAGCCAGAAGACTACAGGAAGGCGGCGCCTGTTGGCCAACCTACCTGTCCGGCGCCTCCATAGGTAGCAGGTAGTGGAACGGCCTTCAGCGAAGACCAGTTACAAGGTACAGAGGTTCCCTGGTCTGTCGAATTGACAGTTAATAACCACTCAGCGGTAGTACTCTCGGGTGTGTCTGGGTGCCGATTTTGCAACTCAGTAACCTATGAGTAGATCGCCAACCATCGCGGTATCACGACATGACGAACCATGCCCGCCATCCAGTACGACTCCGATCGTCGTTTTTCCATGCACATCTGAAAACTCAAACTGGCGTTCCAAAGGCGTGGATGTGTAGGTCTATTTTAGACTCCAAGAATTAGAGAAAGTCACCCATGTCACGCAACCGCTGCCCAGTAAGCGGCCGCTTACGCAGTTTTGAACGACCACAGGACTGTTGTCAGTGTTCGTGTTGGCCTGCATGAGGGCATTGGGTGCCCTGAGGAGCAGTTTCCTGTCAAACACTACCACCACCAACAACGACAGTCTGGACTGCTTGAGGGCACCTCGAAGTACGGAAGTGTGACGATGGGTGCCCTGTGGGGAGGATCTCTGCCGTGCGAATGGTCACAAGTATTCTGGTCGTCGAACCTCAGTTTGCTCACGAGAGGAGTAACATGGAATTGCGATAGAACTTGCCAGGTCATTATTTTTCTGAACGCTGACATTTGACAGTACTAGAGAACACGGGAGAGAAGGCTCTGGTCTCTGACCGACAGAATGCTGCAGTGTATTTAGGTTTCGTATGAACACTACTTGGTCAACTGAACAGGACGTCTAGTAACCTTACCTAGCGGGGGGGGGGGCGTTCGCCGGTGCCCGTCCACATGCCTACAAAAGGTACTCTTTTAGGTACCTCCTCGTACGTGTTTAAGTTACCTCTCTCAGCTCTGTCACGCTCATGTGCACTGCAAGGTGAAACCCCTTCAACTCATCTCTGGCGGTTTTGCATTTATTTTTGTCCAATTTATCATTCCTCGGAGTTTGTGCAGGCCCGCACCTGATGTTTCTGTTCCGAACAGGAAGTTTGCTACAATATATTAACGACCACTGCGGTCCGCGTTCCACACTTGGGTGTGGCAGCCTGCTAGCTAGGGGTCACGGGCCGTTGACACATGACTGTAGCCGCAGTGTGCATCGAACACCCTCTCATTGACGTCCTTCGCACACTGGGCGTAGCCAAAGTAACCGGCATGGTTTGGTGCTGCCAGGCCGTTTGCACGCCGTTTGCGGCTCACACGTTCCAGCGACCAGCACTCACATTCTTCGCCCGACACCTGCTTAGGGTCTCCGGAACAGGCGCATTCCATTTATTGTCCACCCAGGCTGATGGTTTTCTCACGGCCATCTCCGCTGGCCGAGGCGATCTCTTATACGGTGAATTCAAATTAATCAGGCCAAACGTTTGGACCAGATTAAACGACTGTCCAAATTATCCAAAGTGCGACCAAACCGGTAATCACTTTCTTGGAACCAGTCAGCGAGAGCCAGATTGCTGTTCGGTACCGAAGCTGCTGGCCTGGCCGCCCCTCCCAGTCTAGCGTCCGCCACCGTGCAATCCGCCCTCGCTTTGTCCGTATCAGTGCTTTCACGGTTGATCGATTACTGCAAACCGGAGACGTGCATGACCTGCGTAGACCACCTGAGCGAACTTATGGTTAGAAGACTGCCAATAGAAGCGAATAGGCGAGTTCCAGAAAGTAGTTCAGAAGAAGACTGTCGATGTCTGTCCGAAATTAAAGCCACCACCCAAGTCTTCGAAAATGGTGGTTCTAGTGGGCGGGGAGAACTTGAAGTATGCATGCGGACACTTCCTGTTCTACGCTTTTCTCGAACAAACGTCTGGCTGCATTAACTGGAATCTACTTTATACCCCATCTCCGAAAATAAAATCCTGAGGCACACTTGCAAGCCTCTGGTTTACCGTCTGAGGAGGAGGGGAAGGAGGAAACACGATCGATGCAACAGGAATTTTTTCTATCTGACGCTTTGGACTAGCATTCTAATCCGTCCTCAGATAAATAATCAGATAACAGTAATGGATGCTCGAACGTTACAATATTTCTAGAACGTAATTACTATGTCGCCACATCCATATCAAAATTAGCTACCGAATCCACCGCAGATGACTTGATTGTCCGCAGCCCAGATGTTGACTGCCGCAATTTCATTACTCAGCACCGATTATAAAGGGTAGGGGTTGTTATTTTTTGTTAAAGGACTGGGGACTAGAGAACCATAACTCGCGGCTCACGCGCTTGTCACCTTTCACGGCAATTTCAGCCTCGCCTGACTTAAAGTTGTGGCCGGGTCCCTTCGAATGAGTTGCGACTTAGCAGCTGGTGTCATTCATCATTACTGTCGCGTGTTCGGCTACCCGCGTCCAAAGTAGACTTCCAGTTTCTCCGTCGTTGTTGCCTTGCCGATGAACAACTTCGGACTCTTCCTACTATGGCGAATATCGATAATCCATTGTTTCTTGTACGGAGCGCATTTACACATTGCTGAGTTGAAATGACGCTAGGTTACACCTTTCGAGAACTGACGCCCTGGCTGTCCTCCGAAACGTCCTACTCTGCCAACTTTTGGTGAAGGAAGCTTCGAATGCTTTGCTAACGCCCGCAGTGTCAGTATCTGTTCGCATTCTTCTTCTGGCGGTCGTATCGTCATGTTTAGACTGCTTAAACGCCGTTGACTTTGTCAACGTGTAGATACTATAAGAGGGAAAACGGTTGCTTTACTCCAGTGCGTTAGTATTTACTAGTAACACGACTTTACTTTTCAAACAAAATTGATCCAGAGAGCCTTATATGAGAATTTTAGATGGGATTTTAGATGTTGCCCTCTAACGCTCGAGTTAGTTCTTCCGAAATATTGCGAAGTAAGGATATCCTGGCGGGTCTTTTGCAATGACTGCTTACAACTGTTGCCTGTTATGATCGTAAGAGTCGACCGTAGTTGAGCCACAAGTTACTCTAGCGACTTCTCTAAGTGAACTAGGGGAAGAGTCTAGGCCTCAAAATCACGGAACTTAAGCCGACTGATTTGGAAAAAATTCAGGCCGCTTAAAAAGCGAATTCACCATTTTGGATTATGGACCGGTTTGATTCATTTCCACTCACTGCCAGCATGATCACTATTCTTTGACCGAAGTGCTAGAAGACTAGACTTCAGCGCTACTGGTCTCATTTAAAATCTTCGGTTTTCCACACCTACGTAAAGCCTTAAAATGAAGACGTTGCTTACTTGTGCTTTGTGCCTACGACCACGCCCGATGTAACCGGTCTCAGTAATTTTACGCCTTCCATCTGCAGCAGCGGATATGGTGAGCTTCATCCACACCCTTCTTCAGCGGCGAAGACTGAACCCCCAGGTCCAACGCCGTATCTCGAGATATCCTGTTGAGCTAGGTTTTATGTCGATCTTCTCTTCATCGACCCTAGTGAGGCGGTAGCATTGAATCTGGGACAGCGGAGCTGTACCTATGGGATGGGACGACGAAGAATGCGCCAAAACCACCTCTAACCTATTTCTTGGGTGACTTCAGTTGTCCTCGCAGTGCGGACTGTCACATTTGAGGTTAAATTTGTGTATTTAAGATGGCGAGTCATTCTCGGGGAAATGTTAACGGAACTCTCCGGCTTCTGCTCATTTTGCACCTGGAAAAATGGATGCCCAGTAGTTACGATTTTTTATGGCGGTTTAGATACAGCGACGAATCCATGGACGTCCTCAAAAGCCTGTAGGCACCCTGCAGGCAGCACTGATCTGGATGACAGCACCCTGTCTTCTTAGTCCGTGCAACAAGAACTGGGTTCTGAGATATATAAAGCCGTCCAGTACTTTAGGCAGACAGCCGTTAATCATGGGATTTACCTTCTTTTAAGCCAGTATGCGCTTTGGTAATGCTTTGGGTTTCGCGGCTCCGCTTACCCCAGACAATGCCTTCCATGGATTGACCTATCGTTTCACTAACGGCGTTAGGCCTATGCAGGAGGCTGAACTTGTGTGCTTGCGTTAATTTTGTATTTTCTCGGCCGAAACCGGACCGAAATTCGAACCGCCTAAGTTCTTGAGCCCACTGTGAGGCCGGATATATCGTACGCTTCGCTAAAGGTAGCTTAACCGCCTCTGAAATTGTCTTTTCTTTTGCCTTTTTATAGCCTGACCTTCACAACGCCGATGTGCTGCGCCCTGTTTCCACAGACCAGCTCCATTGCATTCAGCAAACTCGAGAAAGATCTTCAAGCCAAGATCCTCGAAAAGCGGCCCCAAGACTTGCCGCCACCAGCTTACGTCTACTACAACAAGGGCTTGTAAAATGCCACGAGAATGATTTCCATGTGAACTTAAGCTCGGAGTGTACGATTTTTATGATTATCGTTAGCACTCTCACTCTTTCTGTGGATTTTCTGCCTCACCTCTTTTGTTTTCCCTTTCGTGACTGTCAATAGCCGCTCTTTCTCTTACCGTCAACCCTGTGCATAGTTTTAGACTTTGCCGACCCATGGAGGACTTCTAATGTCAGTTTTTCCTCCCACTAACTCTTAGAACCTTTCCTACTGATAAGACACTTTGTGTTTGATATTTAATGCGAGTGTTAATATGTATCTCTGTTTTCTGCTTTGTCCGGTTGGGCTTGCATTAGCACGCGATTTGGCGTTATTTTTGCCTTCTTTGGAACTGAAAGTCTGCCGTATAACTCTAAAAAATTATGTTGCCTACTCCACTGGCATCGGGTGTGTAACCGATGGATTGGGTATTTCTTCGAAAGCCGCCTGCGGCAGCTGCGATTTACTAACTTCGAAGTCACGGGGATCTGTCGTACTGAACGTCCTTGATTGGCCGAGGAGGCACAAGCGGCGGGAAGTGTAGGCAGAGGTTTTCTACTGGAACGACCGCCGGCTGAGAATGCAGCCGAGCGTAAGTATCTGGCGTGACCTCAGGCGCGCACCAGGGCAACGTTATTTGGCCGATTCTTGGGTGCCGTAAGAGCTTGCTGTTACTGGTCCTGACGATCACAGGGCCCGTGCAAGTCGCCGCTACTGACCCACGTCGTGGGGCGGCGGTGGACGTTGTCGCTCGCGAACTACACGTCAAACCTTACGTGTATACGTATGTATGTATAGACAAGGTGGTACCGACAAAGACACTAGTCGCTATGCGACTGCCTGCAAGGCTTCCAGTTTGGGCCCCAGGACACAGCGGAACAAGCTGGTTCCGTAACCTGGTCGAGGAGCGTCCACCCTACCATGTGTATATTCATGTGTCCGTGTACTGACGAGTGTGGACAGGAGACCGAGACGGTGCGGCCCTACTCAACTGACCGACTCGTGGGCACACTCGAATTGGGATGTGGGACCTTTCTGTTAGCTTATGGTGAGCTTTTGGAATCAAGCTGCTGTTTTTTCCCGTCTTCGTACATCATAGACTTTTGTTTTTGCGCTGGCAATTTATCACTTTTGCGATGGGGAGGGGGACGGATTCTCATGTTAACTGCGCCGTTAAACACTGAAGAAGTAATTCTTCGCTCCTACTTGAGTATGTTGCTCTAAGAATTCTTTGAGGGCGTTGATTATCAGAATAAAACGTTCTTTGACCTTCTGCCCGACGCGTCTACGGGTGGCATTAAGTGGAAGGAGCTCGAGTGAATTGCGGAAATTCCCATTGAAAAATTTAAAAGGCAATTTGATGAGCATACGTCTGCCTTCAATGAATTCTCCTTAGGCCTGTATATTTACAGTTAGTGACCTAACTCATGAAATGTGTCGAAATTTACGAATGATTGCCAAATAAGTATGCTGTGGCTCGGACTTGGAGGGGAGGAGAGTGAAACACCACAATTCCAGTCAGCGCCAGGGAGAAGGTGGGTCCCGGCGAAGGTAATTATATGCGGGTGGCTGGCTTGGTGGCTTTGAAATATGGCAACTGTGGGACCTATATGAAGTTCCTCTGCGAGCATAGAACCGGTCCGCGTAGCCTGATTGCAGCCGCCTCTGCCGTTGCCAAGAGGCACTGCCCAGGGGGTTTTGGATAGCTTGACGAGACCTTGTAAATCATTCTGAAGGCCTCTGGCGTCTACACGGTGGCCTGTGTCTACCATGTGCGTGAGAATCGTGCTGTTGATGTTCTTTATTTGACCCTTTCTTAACCATGCTGGGAGATATTCTTTTATTCTTTTGGATAAACGCCGGCTCGTGCGACCAATACATTCTGTCCTACAGGAGCAGGTGAGGAAGTGAATACACATAGAGGTGGTCATAGAGGAGGCCAATGGAACAGGGCATGGGTGTCAGTTACTGGACAGATCTGTAATACAGCTTAAGTTAGGCTTCTTCTTAAACGTTCACTTGGTACATTCCCTTGAAATGGTAACCTGATGAAGAGCCTTTTCTTTCCTGCCGTCAGTATCGAGGTACTTGGTGGTCTCTCGGCCATGTTCTTAGCAATGACTCGACCAGGATACCCGTTCTGGCGAAAAATTCTTTCGATGATCTTAAGCTCTTTCTCAACGCCATCAGCTGAGTAGATTCTTCTCACTCTTTCTGTCAAACAGCGGACTAAATTACGTTTAACATTTGGTGATACAAAGCTCCCAAAATTGATGTGTTGTCCGGACCACGTTTTCTTACTATAGACGCTACGAGTGCTGCCGTCAGGCCTTCCCCCTCCCCAAATCCGAACTACAGCATAATTATCTAATTGCCCGTATCTTTTAATTTATTACTTCAATAGCCATATAAATGTACAGGCCTGAAGAGAATTTATCGAAATCAGACGTATGCTCGCCAAATTGCCTTTTGAAGACAAATTACCAAGATAGTGGCCGGCCAACAAGCAGTCGCAGATCATCAGCTGCAATGTCCGCTGGATGCTGAGGGTTAGGATCTGGCAACCGGCTATTCTACGAAATCCCGGGCGTCTGATTACAGCAGTCGGATGTTAAGAGCCAGTAAAATTAAGTTCCTCCTGTCACCGCTGCCTTGCGGGCTTGATCTCCGCCCAAGGAAGTGCGGAACCTCTCTTCCATCAAACTTCTGTGAAAACATGTTTCTTCATTATGACACTCGTGCCACAGTGTCCGCGGTAGCGAACGCGTCTCATTCGCGTTCTTCTGTCCACTCAGCGATAGGATCCCCTTATCTTGAGTTGGGCATCATTTGTCAGTTTCATCCTATCGAATACCCAACGTCCTTTGTGAGAGCTGGAGGATATCAATGGACGGAGGGAGAAGGCAGAATGGCTGCTCATTTTCAAAAACCAACCAAAATTCTCATTGAAGGAAGATTGGCCACTATCGACCTTCGCAGACAGTTTCGTAGAAGTCATGTTACAGGATGTAGCTTGACCGTCCTAACTGGCAGCTAGTCTCGATTAGTCACAGCTTTTCTACCATTTGAAGTAGAATCGTACATAGTATGTTTAGAAAGACACGGTGGAAGGAGCACTAGTCTTTGCAGCGTGCCCCCGGTACAGTCCTAGCAAGCAGCGCTCGTTGGTTTCGCCAATGCGTTTGCACTAAAAAAAACCAGCACGGTTTTGGTGCGTGAGTTTGTGAACGTGTCGGCGTTGGCGCAGTGATGGGTTGTTTATTTTATGTGTGGACACCTGCCGTTGGCTGGCTGCGCCAACCTATACATGCCTCGTTCGCTCGAGTCGTTACTCAGGTGAGTCGTGCTGTGGAGTATCTTGGCTTTCATACGGAAGCGGGAGGCTGAAGTCCCAGCTGAGGGCTAGAAATCTACCGACATTTTTGAAGACTGCGACACTGTGAGATGTTTAGGTACACATGGGGTAGCCGAGAATAGTCATCCAGCTTGATGCAAAATTCGCTTTTTGTCTTCGGGTTCGCCCCTGGTCTGTGCAATCGTTGCAGTCTTACTGATTGAACCTTGACCACGTGAACCGATGCTCAATAATGAGCCACAAACCTTACTGGCACGGCCGGACCCGCACCTAGGCGTACCACCACACCCTTTGTCCACAACGTAGGACAGGTACATATCATTGCTGCTTCGACTTTCTATGTCCAATTTTGAGGAGAGGAAGGATACGGGTGAGCATCTGGCCAAATTTAAGGAAATCTTCGTCTAAGGATGCTGCCCGTCTTCTAGAGCGTGCAGATCGCGATTCCATGCCAAACGTCCATTTAGTCCTGCCATCAACTTGTTGGTAGTTTTAACCGCGAAGTCTTCTATCACAGTTCTCCTAACAGAAGGTGTGTCCGCATGCTATGTCTGGCCCCAATGATACAGTACGTTTATGAAAAGATGCGTCTCAAAGGATGGGTGTCAACCCTAGTGGTTAATCAGACACAGCAGGCACGTATGTACCTGGCTAAGCCCTGGCCTATTTTCATGATGGAATTTCTGAATAGCCGATCCGGCTTGACCGAATACGGTGAAACACACAGTTCTGTTTACCTGCCTTAGGCTCCAGACAACTTGGAAAAGCGCCAACTTAACCGACATTTGAATGTCTCTTACTGGTAGGAGTCAAAGCTTGAAAGATAGGCAAAGGCTTTTTGGTTTCCAGCCAAAAAGGAACACGTGCATCGAAGGTGACCTGTATCCATTCACTTGTAATACACGCTCAGTCTAACTTAAGTCTGTTTTTTGTTTTTCCTTGTGGATCTTTTCTTTGAAGCCGATAGTTGCAAAGAGGCTGGACGTGTTGCTCAGGTAAGATGTTAGGACTACAGATCAGGAGATGTTAGCTCTTGCTGGCATAGCCGTTGCAAGCATATTCCTGCATTGCCTGTAAAGAAGTATAATTCATTCACTATCGCAAGTACTTACGAGCCCCAGTTAAATTGGGATTTATTGGTTATGGAGGGAAGTTTCAAAGCCACAGTCCAGTAAACTTCAGCAGAGATATGACCAGAGGAAAGAGAGAGCGAGATCCGACGACTGTGGTGGGGACGAATCTGTAGTCTGGATGAACAGGCAAGAATTAGGGTAACGGCGGTTTGTCAGAACAAGGAAGAACGCTGACCTGGTAGTCTGTGTTACTGAAAACTACGAACTTATTCGCCAAGTCAGTGGCAGGTGGCCTGCCCTGAACGGAGCAGTTTGCTATGAGAATGTTTGCTTTGATACAGGAGTGGATGCGCACTTATCTGTCGGCTTCCCGAAACAAATAGTCTCTGATTGGATGGCAGAGGCCATGGACAGGTGGCTACCTATCAGTCGACCATCTGATAGATCATGCCTGTCAACCTTCTGTGTGCTTGTATTTCTAGCCTCACATGGTGGCCAAGGTTTTCAGAAGGCGAGTAAAGGCTGAATGAGCCTGAACCAGTGCTGTGCCAGTCTAATCGT